AGTTTACGTGAGATTCTAATTTTGGTCAGGTGATGATGAACAGGTGAATCAGGATGTTGAACTATGAAAGCATAGTAAATTCTTAAATTAATGTCTTTTTACAAATTTATTGTCTTTATTTATTGGCTTTTAAAAAACTTTAAACGATATTAAAATGCTTATGCTTTCAAAGTAAATTCTTAGAACTAACATTTGTTGACATTTTTTATGTGTATACTGTATGTTGTCGCCAATAAAGTCTGCTTGACGAGATTTGCGCTGGTGAAAAGGAAAAGTACCAAAAAATCACATTGATGAGTATGGTGCAGAGGATCAATATGAAATGTGAATAAAGTAAAAATTAGCCATGCCTGAAGCACTAAGCAAAGCCATGCCTGCAGCATGTCTTTAGCCAGCCTTAAGCAAAGCTTTTTAAGTTTTAGAGCAACATTTTGATGCTTTTCCTAAGGATCTTTTGTTGATTAAAAATAGGCATGATCATATAATGGCTGAAGAAGTTATAAAATTATTACAAAGAAAGTGGAACAAGAATTTTTATAAATAATAATAATGTCAGACAAAAACTCTTGTATGAGATTTAACAAAATTTCAATAGAATTTGGTTTATTCCACTTTTTCATAAATATTTTTGTCACAAAATAAAATTTCATGTGGTTTATTTGTTGAAAGGAAAAAAAAAATATCTACTTATAAAAGAGTTGGAAAATGTCAATAGGAGAAATTCAGCCTTTATTTTTATCATTTCAAATAAACAATTACAAAAAAACTTGTCAAAAGAAAATTCGACATGATTTTAAATTTTGTCTCTATTAACTGAGTTTTTAAATATCTAAAGCAGCACCTTGGGTCTATCCTGAACTTACTCTCTAGGCTATTGGTTAATTCCGAGGTGCACATCCAATGGATTCCCTCCTATGTGGGCATTAGTGGCAATGAGACTGCAGACACTCTGGGAAAAGACTGCTGCTTTAGAGACTTCCCAGTCAGATATGCTTTGCACCTATACTGAGATGTTCTCTGAGTATATGAAATCACTTAAGGATCTCTGGAGTATCCCTCTAGTATACGACTGGTACTCGAGAAATCGCCTTGGTAGCACCCTATTTTTTTGTGGGTCATAGAAACCAGAAGACTTGCATATGCCATTTTGGCCAGTGGACACTTCAGGAGTGTCTCCTATGAACAAGGGCAGAATGTGGTTAGTCTATTTTAAGGTGCACTTTAGATTGTGTTGTTTCATTTATCGCCAAATTGTTGTTATATTTATGGTAAGATGAGTAGTTGAATGTTATGGAAACTCTATTATGACGTGATTGGTTGCATGACTGCATTGAATTTAACTGATGGGGAAAATATTTGTAAGGGCTTACTTCTGTGTTGGATGTCAGTTAGGAAGTATGTTGCTTATTTTGTGCTGTACACCATAAAATGGCTGTATGCGATATAATTAATGTGAAGTTTCTGCACGATTTGGAATGAAAGGAAAAAAGCATTAATTGGCTGGTGTGTAAATGGTTTACTTAGTCGTCATTATAAATGTCCTGTTTATACAAAGGAAATACGTATGGTCGAACATTAAGATCATTCAGATGGCTTAGAATGGGTTTCTTGCAAAAAAGGTTCATGCAGAAATGCCACCAACAGTCCAGCACTATGGAGGATATTTTTTACTCTTATTTTTGTGAATTTATGTCAGATAATATTTTAAAGTTTTGGGATGCTGTTAAGGAATTTTGTGTGCCACAGACTGAAGACACAGAAATTTCTAAATATGGCAAGTCGATATTTCCTTTTTGTAGTGCCTATATGCGATAAGATGTATTTCCTTTTTCATGTTATTTCAGTGTATGATTTAAAATGCAGTTAATTGATCATCAATTGGCTATAAACTTTGTTCAATTTTGGTGACAAGTAATTTTGTCTTAACATTATATGATGTCATTATTTATCTGATTTTTTTTAAGTGAAAATAGATCAATGTGTACATGGACAAAGTCAAGGGAGTGCACAATGCTGAGTTTGTGCAATTCTCTGACCTTTTTTTTTTTTTTTTTTAAGTGGAAATAGATGAATGTGTACATGGACATCGAGTTTGTGCAATTCTTTGACTTGTTATTTTGGTTTTGTGTAGCAGCCATCTTGAAATTGTGCCTTGGTGGCCAATTGCCAATTTTCGCCAAGAGGCACTCTTAAATATATTTTTACTCAGAAAGTTTTTTAAGACCTGCACCAAGTGTAATGCTGCTCTAGTGTCATCTGATCATATTTTATTTTGTCTTGATTTTACCTTGGACAAGGTTTTTCTGAAACCCCCCTTTTTTTTAGACATTTTAGAGGTATCTGGACTTATGGAATTGGTCTAAAAAAGTTGGATCAATTGGAGGATTAGAAATAACAACAACAGTACCTTGGGTAATTGAGGTTCTTTAGTAATTTTAAAATGAAGCTCATGAATTTAATTACAGTTCCTTCAATGATGGCAGAGCTCTTGTTTCAAGCCTGTCATAATAATCTTATTCTCATTTTCAGGAAGAAAGGAATGTTTCTAAGATTTTTCCTCAGATGTAAATTTTGACATTCTTTTTTTATTTACTAGAAACATTCTCACCATTTTGTTTTGTGCTTTGCATGTTGCTTGTATGTAATATTTAGAAACTGTCATGTAATATTTAAAAAACAAGAGATTAAAATGCAAGATCTTACAAAAACAGGAAATAAACCAATGCATTTGGGCAGACCCGATTACCGCGAAAAGATTGAGATTTTTCGCCTATGTGCAGAAGCATAGCAGCAATCAGCTTAATTGTACATAAAAGCATCAGCTATTTATCATGGCCAATTTACTGTATATTAGCCAGGACAGAGAGATGACACTATGGTTATATGCTCCAGTCATTTATTTATTTATTTATTTTTATCCTATGCCAGATCTAGGCATGACTACCATTACTCTGTGATGAGCAGCCTAATACAGTTCAGAAACATTAAAAAAAAGCACAATAATTTTCGACAGCATTAACTGTTGCCACATCATTAAACTAAGAACATGTGATCAAATGGTCACCACACATGTTATCAATATCACATCATGGGCAAGATGGAAGGTCTGCTATATCAAATCTGTGTAGGTGTTTCATGAGGTAGTCATGTCCAGTTTTAAATCTAAAGTTAGCGAAACCAACAGGTCTAGGTTAACCAACGTTAGCGGCGCTATCACAGGGAATGGGATTCTCTATTAGGGAACCCCAAATATTCCCCTTCACCGAGTCCCCATTCTTCTCTCGAAGATGAGCTCCATCTGACTTCAATCATTTTCTTAGCACTGTGATAGCAATCAGGATGATTGGGTCAAGGGAGAACAGATCCAGCCTTGGCCAGAGTGTTAGTAAACTCATTACATGTGATTCCACAATGACTCCGGATCCACTGCAGAGTAAGATTGTGACCATTATTTATTACAGAATTTATCATAAGCTGACAATTTAGAACAGACCCACTATTTGAAAGCATGACTGAAGAATTGCTTTAATAGTGGTCAGTGAATCGATAAATATCACAATGTACTGATCATCTCTTTTACCAATTTCAGTCAAGGCCATTAGACAGCAGCCACTTCAGCATCACAGTTGGTATGATTCACACCAACAGAGCCACTAACATGCCTAGAGTTAACCCCTGCACCAGCATTATTAGTAGCACCTATAGCAGAACTATCGGTGTACACATGCAGCCAGTGCTTGTTGGATATCTTTTTCCAATAATGGCCAAAGTAGTCATCCTCAATTCCATCTCAGTACAGTATTTTTTACATACCAGTAGAGCCAAGTCTAAATTATAATGTGCCTAGTTCAAATGCCTTAGAAACACACATCTCAAGTAATGGCTGTCTGTTAAAAAAAAAAAAAGGGATATAAAAAAAAGTCAGACACTTCATTTGCCATATGTAAAAATGTAGATTACATATGATTTTAACTTAAGCTCTGCAGGATTGTACATCTTCCAGAAATCATCACACCTCATCAATCTCTCGACCAACTTGACAGCTCTTATTTTTCTTCAACGAGTCAGAGGCTCAATATTTGTTTGCAACTGCATGGCCTGGACAGGAGCAGAAAATGTTCCACTGGTGGATGATTCTCAGGGCATTATTTTGAGTAGTTTCAACCCTGTTGTATAGTGACTCAGAAGCAGTTATGAGAAGTTCAGCACCATATTCAAAAGCAGGCCTAATATCAGATTTATAAGTGGTTCAGAGTAGATGTTGGGCAATACCCCACTTTAAACTCATAAGCCTTTTTTAAGCAGTTATGAGAAGTTCATTTCCATATTCAAAAGCAGACCTAATATAAGATTTATAAGTGGTACTGAATAGATCTTGGGTAGAACCCCATTTTAAACTGGTAAGCCTTTTAAGCAGTCTATTTCTCATGTTGCCAATACCCAGTATCTTGTTAGCCTGTTTATTCCAACTTAGCCTGGTATCCAAAACAGTTCCCAGGCAAGTAGCCTCTTGAGTCCTATAGCCTCATGACTACAGTTATCTATTCTGGAAGCTATATTAGTAAAAATCAACTGCATGATCTGACTCCTCAAAATTCTGCTCAACCCAATTTATCATTAAAAATATGTTTATTTTTGGCTTGATTGTTTCAATAATAAAAATTTCCAATTAAGTTCCCAAAATGGTTTCGATGATTAAATGGCCAATTTACCACTGTCACTTGCTCAACTCACTGGGACTGCTGAACAATAAATCAGCTTTTTAACATTTTAAAACCTGCAGAATGAATTTCTTAATTTTATACAATTTCATCACATATTCAAAGATCAAGATTCAGTTAAATTTATCTTTCAGAGTTTAACATACCCTTTTAACACTATAGGCAATTTTTAAGGAAGAGGAGAAAGCTAACTTTTTACAAAATGTACTTTAAAATACACAGTAAAGATACGTGTTTCTAATACTTACATATACAATAAATAAAGGGAAGAAAACTTACTATTACAGAAGCATGTCGCCATGTATTACTCTGAAAGGAAAATATATATATATATAAAATAATATTAAAATGTGCAAAAATCATATTTTACATGCTATACACTGAGGTTTATAAAGTTTAATAGGAACATTTATTTCAAGTAATCAAACATCAAATAACTGGGAACATCAAAGACTTGCTTCACACACCCACACATACCCCCCACACCCACCCACCCACGCATCACGCATGCACACACACACACACACACACACACAAAAAAAAAAAAAAAAAACTAATTATAACAGAGCAAGCAATACCCATTTTACAGTCTCATTTATAAAGCTGTTAGAGGTGAAAAAAATGCTAAATATGATGTCTGGAAAATTTACTTTTTATTTCATAATATGCCACCAGATTCAGATTTTTTTCCTGGATCTTTCTCTTTTTCATAACCTCTTTGCAGTCAGAAGGAGCACTGTTAACTAAAGAACTATTCAGTCTTAATGGATAAGGATGACTAGACATAAATTAAAAAGTAATTATGACTTAACTAAGAAAAATAAATGTTATTAAATTTGTATAATATTTAACCTGCCAGACAAAAATATTTTGAAGAAGTTTCAAATGTGAATTGAGAGATCTACTAATTTTAATTAAATTCTTCCGCAATTCATAGAAATTATTTACTGTAGTCTCGTCAGCCCTTACAGTCATAAGGCTCAATTTAATCAAATATTAATTTTCCTGTTTCTCTGTAATAGAAGTAATAGATGATTTGTTTACAGAGAAGAACATTAAGACTTATGGGAACAAATGCTTTCATGGACACTTTCTGTGAGAAAATGGAAATTATTTATATTACTTGTGAGGTAAATTATGACAATTTTATGTACGGAATCTTTTAAAATGATGAGAATAGAAATCAAGTAAACACCTAATGTTTAAAACTTCCAGCAACTTGGAAAGTGACTGGCTCTCAAATAAAAATGTCTTGGATTGATAATCATAAAGTTATAGCATTGTTACATAGAAAGGAAACAGATTATTACATCAAATACATATACAATTTTAAATTAAATTTCATAATTAGTTTTCAAATAGAGCAACAAATTACAAATATTTTTTTTTTCATGATTTAGTTAATATTTTATTTCAACAATACATTGAAATGAAAAGATTGAAAAACACCTTTAACTTCTTTTGTTAAGGTATATTGAAGGGTGCCCCTTCGATTATCATGAATTTGTTGTTTCATTTATGGTAACCTGAGTAGTTGAATGCTATGCAAACCCTATTATGAGGTAACTGGTTATGTAATTGTGGTGAATTTGAATGATGGGAAAAGATTAAGGGCTTGTTTATTGGATGTTGCTTAGAAAGTATGGTGATTATTTTGTGGTTTACATCAGAGTTTCTTAAAACATTTTTCAGTCACGATCCCCAGGACCCCATAATATTTACAAAAATTTTCTGGGACCCCAGAAGTATTGTGCAAATCCGACACACGAATGAGTAAAACTGTCAATTTTTTCACTTGTATTGCAATATACTATTGCAGTTTTAGGTCATTAACTTTAATTTCTAATTTTAAGACATAGAACAATGTGAAAATTTTAAATAAGTAACAGACAAAATGACAGCGTCACGTTCAAAGCAAGGAAAATGAATGTTTATATTATAAATAGAATGCGTCGAAACGTTTTCATTTTTTTCTTTGTATGTATTGTCTTATCTTTATCTATTTTCAGATAAATTGTGTAAAAATATTTGTTAATTGTAAAATTATTATAATAAGTTAAAAAATATCAGAACTGCTAAAATTTTTGGCGACCCCCTGCTGCAGGTCCCGTGACCCCTAGTTTAAGAAATCCTGGTTTACAAGTAAAATGGCTGAAATAAGTGTCCTGTTTATATGAAGGGAATGCGTATGATCGAACGTCTGAGGATACCAGCACTACGGAGGATATTTTTTACTCTTATTTTTGTGAATTTATGTGGCGATGCCAGTATACAGATTCTAGTTTAGATAATTTTAGGAAGTTTTTGGATGCAGTAAAGCAATTTCGTTTGAATGAAGACATGACAATTTCTAAATAAGATAAGTGGATATTTCCTATGTGTAGTGCGAAGATGAATTTTCTTTTTTATGTTATTTGATTATTTGATTTAAATGTAGTTTATTGAGACTATATACTTTTTGTTTGGCTCTAGTGCAGAATTGGCTGCTCCTTTGACTTTTAAAGTGAAAACAAATCGATGTGTACATGGACAAAGTCAAGGGAGTGCACAATTCTCCGATTTTTGTGAAGTGAAAATAAGTAAATATGGATATGGATATCGAGTTTGTGCAATTCTTTGACTTGTTAATTTGGCTTTGTCAGCACCGATTTTTGGCGCAAAAATCACCATTACACGAAGCCAAAATAACAAGTCAAAGAATTGCACAAACTGGGTGTCCATGCATCGCCAAAAATTGTAATGGAGCACACGTAAATATATGTTTACCATTTCTGAATTTTTTAACATTTCTGAATTCAAAGAAGGTGAAAAAATATACAGTACATAATTATTATAGACTTGACCAGCCATCAACGATTTAGTACCAATTCATGGATGACCATGTCCTTTAAAATTTCATAGTAATGATTGTCGACCACTGCTGAAATTTCTGCCAGTGGATGATGGAATAATATGTAAATACCAAATTTACATTTTAATAACTAAAATCAACGTCTAGTTTCATTACTTTTTTTAATGAATTTTATCGCAGCTGACAAAGTAAAATACTTACATAATTTTTTGTGGTGTTTCTATATGATGTAATAATAATTTATGATATCTACGAGGGCTATTCAGAAAGTAGATTACGTTTTGGAATAAAAAAATAAACAAAGTATAGGAAACAAATTTTATTATATACAGATGAAAGCCACACTCAAATACTACTTTTCTACATAGTCACCATACAAATTAAGGCATTTATCGTAGCGATGTACGAGCTTGGAAATTCCTTCGTCGAAAAATTCGGCCGCCTGCGCCTTCAACCACTTCGTTACCTCTTCTTGCAGCTGTGCGTCGTCATCAAAACGCTGCATAGCCAGCCACTTCTTCATTGCTGGGAATAGGTGGAAGTCGCTCGGTGCCAGGTCGGGACTGTACGGCGGATGAGGAAACAACTCCCACTTAAAAGATTCAAGAACTTTACGAGTGACATTTGCCGTGTGGGGCCGGGCGTTGTCGTGAATCAACAAGATCTTAGAGCTCAACATTCCTCTGCGCTTGTTTTGAATTGCTCTTCTGAGTTTTTGGAGAGTTTGGCAATACCTTTGAGAGTTTATTGTAGTGCCTCTTTCCAGGAAGTCCACCAAAATTACACCTTTTCTGTCCCAAAAAACAGTCGCCATCATCTTCCTTGCCGACATTGTTTGCATGCATTTCTTGGGTTTTTGGGGAGAACTTGTGTGCCCCCACTGCATTGATTGCAATTTCGTTTCACACAGTTCACATGTTTCACCCATGTTTCGTCACCAGTAACGATGCGATCGAGTAAAGAGTCACCATCCTTATGGTAAGCGTCCAAAAAGTTCAACGCTGCAGCCATTCGCTGATTTTTGTGGTCCTCTGTCAAGATTTTTGGAATCCATCTTGCACAAAACTTGTGGTAACCAAGCTTTTCGCTGATGATTTCGTGCAACAAACTTCGCGAAATTTGTGGAAAACTCAAAGAAAGTTCCGTTATTGTGAAATTTCGATTTTCACGGACTTTAGCATCGACTTTTTCGAGAAGTTCGGCGGTCACTATGCTGGGTCTCCCACTTCGATCTTCGTCGTGAACATTGGTTCGGCCATTTTGAAATCTTATGACCCACTGACGCACTCCACCTTCAGTGATAATGTTGTCCCCATACACTTCACGAAGCTGCCGATAGATTTCTATCGGTTTACAGTTTTTTGCAGTCAGAAACCTTATTACTGAGCGCACCTCGCAGCTCGCGGGATTTTCAATTAACGCAGACATTTCAAACCGTCACAGTATCTGAACGGAGCACAGCACGAACCTCTCACTAGCACGGCTAGATGCAGACTGAGCTGCGCAACGCTCTGACCCCAAGATGGCCGCGCTAGCCCCGCCCCTAGCGGACACAGACGGAAACGTAATCTACTTCCTGGATGGCCCTCGTATTATACTGAATTTTCTCCTCCTATTCACTACATCCATATCAGACATACAATCTAATACTTAAAAGAAGGTCATTTATCACTTGTCCTTAAAACTGCACATTAAAAAGATACATATACTGAACTTTAAGCAATGTTAAGTATATTTTTTAAAGCAGATTCAATTTTATTATTTATATCTTCCTAAACCACAGTTTATTGCAGAATCCAGAAATAATTTTCAGATTACCTTCAATTAAGGAAAAAAAAAAAAAAAAAAGAGATACTGTTCCGTTATCAGGACTGGATTCAGAAATCTTATGTATGTATGCGTGCATAATACACAAGATTTCTGTAAGATACATAAGATTCTGTAAGTATAAATGTATGTGTGTGTATACATATACACATATATATGCATATGCAATACATTCATGCATTTCTTAATCTGGCCTTGATAACTCAACACTACCAAAAAAGGTCAAAATCACAATAGATGATTTATATTTTCTTTACTGTTATATAGTCAAAAGTCGTTAATTTGGACACCCATAATCCGGACCTCAAAGCTAAAAACTTTCTGCACATGCGCCGCTTTGACGCATGCACATAGGCGTTTAAGCGTGCACGTAAGACCTTTACGACTGCGCATTTGCATGTGCACAAGCGCAGAATACGTTTTCGCTGCGCGTTTAATGTATAACGGACGGTATAAGCTAAAATTATCTATTTCAGTTAATGTTGATGATTGCGTTGTTCCTTAATCTTCAAATTGGATCCGGCTTTTTATTTTTTGCAGACCGTAAGAGCAATTTTATAAAAGTAAGCTTGAACTTTCGATTATGTCAAATAGAATTTCCGATGCTGGAGCTCCCAAAGAAACTACGAAA